GGCCATACTTGGTATACTTGATACTTGCACATCACTGCAGGAAAAAATAATTTAAGACTCAAAACCCTTCCAGGCTCCCCTCTTTCAGATTGTGAGGTATTGTTGGAGTCACTGTACATGCACAATTTTGGTACATTCAGGGGCGGTTATTTTGTCACTGTAAGGAATTATTGCAGGCTTATAAGTAGCTGTGGTTTTGGACCATTCAATTTCTCCTCCATCATCTAAGATTCATACTTGAATTCTTTGAACAAGTCTCATTTTTCCAGTTAGTTGCTCCTCTGTCATTCTTTTGCACCTTCTCTCTATGTGTACTTCTTTGACCCCCACTTTTTTGACTCTTTTAGGTAACCTTCCCACCTGTGACCTTGAGATTTCTACAGATACACCATCCAGACAAGCACTCTTGGAACATATAGTGAGTGCAAAAAAATCAATGGACATATTTCAAGCCTTCACTGATGATCTTGAAAAAATTGATGTTTATCAGATCATGATCTGGTGCAGGTCATTCAATTTTTGTGCACTTCAAGCTCTACTGGCACTACCATGGTTTCTTGTTATTATGTGTGCAAAGCAGATTATGTTGTTTCATGGTGAAAACCTCAAAGTAGTAGATGAATTGGGTCTATCATGGAAAGCCACAAATCCTCAATTCAAATATGTAGGATCATCAAGTGGGCGTCGCATCAAAATTGAGGCAGAGAACTGGAAGGTTCCCCATTCAAGCCAGGACCGCTGGCAGACTTTGGTAGTTGCTTCAAAGAATGAACATTCCTCAATGCTACATGAACTTGGAATTGAAGAGGATCATATCAGGTTTGATCACAATGGATTATCTGTGAACTTGAGGATCACATTGACAAATGCTGTGGACAGGCCACCATCTGTAGATACTTCCCCAGAGCCCTATTACACAGGGACCAGGGCTTCAAGTTCAAATGTAAATTAGTAGTTTTTGTTGAATCTAGCTACTGATGGGTATCTGGAATTTTTATATAGCTTCTTTGATACACGATCTCGGTTTTGAATATCATTTATTGATGCTTTGACATGGTGTTATATCAACAACCTTGGTTTTTAATCACCTTGAGACTTCACCATTTCCATCTCCCAATTTCTCAGAAGACCAGAGATTCAGGGCAGTCTGTCGCCCTCAAAGTATCTATCAGTCTGAATTGTGTTGCTGTATTTCAATTTGGACTACTCAAATTCAATGATTACCACCCTGTTATCCTCTCATCTTTATGATCCAATCATCTGAAAACTCTTTGTGGTAGATCAATCCTTGTATTCCACATGTTTAGGGAAGTTCATATGGTAGACACATCATATCACTACCATTTTCTCTTGTTATTCCTTATGCAAAAACCATATATCTACTAGAACAACCAATCACTGAAACTCTCCTGTTGTTGAAATCCTCTGGAAGTGGCTGTAACACCCCCAATTTGAATCACCCCAGTTGATTGATGTCTTATATTTGTATCGAGATATATCCCGCATATGATCAATTTTATAGATGACATGCTTGGCATAAATGTTACAATCCTTGAAAAGATGCGCCTTGTTTGAGAACTTGTTGGCTTCAATCTTGAGATTAGTCTGACTAGCCGGCAGATCAAAGATAGTAATAGGAATAAGTATCAAGTTGGCGCAAGATCACGCCCTTTGGAGGTTTTAACTTGTGACACTCGCGGTGTTTAGTTCAATGCCCGAGGGATCTGATCACCGGAGAAAATAGGCATCAAACTTGGCCGATCTGAGATTGAAAAAGATGAATCGAAGGGGTCCGGCTCGCAACCTTTAGGCCAACAGGCAGGCCATCTGAAGACCCCACAGGAGATTGGGGAGGCAACACTAGAATAAATGTTGGTACATATTTTAACGGCCTTCAAGAGGAGAATAATCAGTATGTATAGATTTGAAACCATTATGGAAACTTCTATGCCAAATCTCGACTATTTAACGAGGGAAATAACTGGATATCCTACAAGGCCGAAGACATTGAGAGTATATAAAAAGCGGTGATTGTTGGGTACGTCGAACCCACCTCTACATCATCCTCCCTTCATCTTTGGATTCTTGCAACAAACCACAGTTTTCAGGTTGGTCTCGCCTCGGTCGTCGTTCTTCGCGCCTGCTATTCACGCGCACTCGGCCCTGTTATGATATCTTACAGGTATTATCCGTCTGAGCTACCTCGTCCTCTTTACAACCCGCCAACACGCATCAATCAAGAGGGTCAAGTCTTTTGATTCCGCGACAAGTCAAGTATTCAAAGGGTTAGTCATATCTCTTCCTCTGCAAGACGTTGAACGCCGTCACTGACGATTTGAACATGGACGCTTATCAGATCATGATTGGGCGCCCTTCATCAAATTCTTGCGCACTTCGAACTCTACTGGTACTAGCATGGCTTCTTATTGCCGTGAGTGCGTCGGAAGTGGATTTCCTTTGGCGGACAGAAGCTATGCTATTTGACAACGAGGTAAAGCTTTCGTGGGAAGGTGGCAACCCCGAGTTCCAATATGTCGGTGGATCAGGTTTGTTGCGTGGTAAGATAGAAGCCTTAGACTGGGTAAAAAACAAGTGGGAGGCTTTGGTAGTTGCTTCAAAGCGAGCGCATTCCGCAAGTCTACACGAGCTCAACCTCAAAGATAATCATCTGAATATCGATGATTCAACAGGCGTGACCTTCGTAAAATTGAGAGGGACGAAGCTGATACAATCACAGTCACCACAGTTACTTAGTCACCTTTGATTGGCGTTGCATCGCTGAAAATGCCCCTAGAGCCTTGGAGCTGATACATTGAATATCATAATGATTCCCTATATATAATGATCAATCTATAGTCTTTTCTATCAATATCTTTTGCGCGATCTGCTGACTTGTGTATCTCCTCTTGGCCAGCTTGGTCATCGTGGTACTTTTTTGTCGTTTCTTGGTACAAATCTACACCGGTACATAATTAAGATATAGAATTGCAATCTTTGTTGTGTCGCTGTGCTAGAGTGCTACATAGAGCATATCTGGTGGTTTCCCTTTTTTTGTAAACGTTGTCTGGATGAACTGTTTTTTTCGCATCTATTATCAGCAGAGTTTCACACTTTGCTCTTCCTTCCTTGTCGAACTCTATTCTGTTATTCTTGAGCATCATCTTTTCTCATCCAGACTGTTAAATCTGTTATCATCTCAGTCTCATCAGCTGTAGCTGTTATCCAGCCTTGCCCTCTCGGCTTTGGGTTCATTTCTGAATCCGTTCTCATGGGCACAGGGAGATGAAATAAGTCTTCGCGCGCAAACAGTCTATTGATCAATCATCAGAGCCTCTCCCATCCGTTAAGCTTGAGGTGATACATGTTGATATCTTTCAAAATAAATCTCACGAAGACTAACAAGCAAAACTGAACCGCATGGAGTATAAAAGTTTCATTGAACGAGTCAAAGACACGCCCTGTTACACTGGGACTCGGGAGTCGGACTCACAACTGTTACGAAGTAATCTCAAGTCCTCTCACTTTGATTGTAGGAACATTTGTTTTCGAAACAGCTGTAATATCTATCTCTTTTCTGTTCTCGATCACGTCTCTTTGCTGGTCTCAATCACACTTTTATCATAATCATTCAAAAAAACTATATTGAGAATAAAAATCGCCATCAATAAGCTGCCATCTAGAATCTCTAAGTTGTTCTCTTCTCTCCACTTTTAATCCAGAACCTCAAAGTATTGGTCATGGAATAAAATTGTCGTATTTCCACCAAAATAAATTCCAACTTTCGTTGGTTCATACGACTAAAATATTGTTTGATAGGAAAACTAATTCAACAGAAGCAACTACCGTTATTTTTGTGATATCTTTTTATATAAAAGTTCTTGCTTCAAGGAAGAGAAATCTCTAGGCTTTATCACAACAATTATTCAACTTACCTCGAGTCAGGTTGACAAGGGGTTTGATCACAAAGAATTCTTCATATGATATTCAATTTGATTCTTCTTCATGAATATACAATATGATGACAAGCTTCTTGTTCTTGATATCCATAGTTCCACGGTATGTTGAATTTTGGGAATGGACAAATAATCCGGGCGAGTCTCAAGAGATGTTGAGGGAACGTAGGATGGAACGTAGACTTTGTGGTGATTCAAGTCGAAGTTCGTCAAAACATGAAGACCTCATTCCGAAAATAAACCATAGGGTTCGGAAGGGAAGTTAGAGTGGAGTCGAATTGAAATTTTGATGATGTCGATTCACTGGCGCAGAGTGTGCACTCGAACCAAAATCTGATGTCGAGTTTGAGGTATGTTTTGTGTTCCCCAATCTTTCCTCATGAGTCATGATATAAACCAGAATTTCTGTCTTTGTAAACCTAATTGTACCAGCCTCACAGAAACTCCCTTCGCCACCAGGCTTGATTGACTGTTGTAACAATTTATTCAAACCAAAGTATCTTCTTCAACTTCCATCTCATTCCTTAACATTCTTGTCAATATTTGTCCACTCAACTCTTTTCAAAAAAAGCCTCCAGCTATTTTCATCGTCTTTTCTTTCTTCCTATTCTTCCTTTGCTGTTGTTTTTCATTTCCCATTTGACTTTAACATTTTTGGCTATCATCATCAGCTATCATAGCAATTAATCATAAATCAGAGGCAAAGATCGCATGAACTGAATTAACCAGGACTATTTTACCGAGAAGGCCTACCAAGCATTCGCATATCTAGCATACCACTTTCCTTGCTTGATTCGACAGAGCCGAGAAAAACCACGAAAAGCAAAACTCATAGAGGTCAATTGAAAAGGCAATTACCGAAAAAATCACTTAAATCGAGCGATGAGAATCTGGAATGACTTCAAGAGATATTCAAGGATAGGAGACAATCACGAAGGGTCATCAAAAGGGGAATTTTATTTTTATATCTTAGGATGGTGTATCATTTCCCTAGTGATTGGATTCTTACTCTTACCGCCAACTTCAATAATCACAACCAGAGCCACAAAATATGATAAGTTTGAAAATCCATCACTTCAAACGTGGATATCATCTCTTTCAGTCCCCAAGACTTCCAAGCTTCTCGCAAATAAAGTCAAATCAGCAAAGCTCTTCGCATCTCATTCCTCGTCAATAAAACCCTCCATATTATCATCTCAATCAGACCGAAAAAAACAATTTAATCAGCCCTCAAATGTACTACCACCCAACCCTGAAGACATTCTCTCGCCTATTCAATTTCCTATGGTACCAATCGATACACTTAACACTACAACTACCGGCTTAACTTACCATCCAGATGGCCGTCTCTTATTACAGTTCCCAGCCTCATCACCACTTGAAGCTCATCCCATCATGACCCTTATCGAAAGGGCTAAAGTTGAATGGGAAGCTAAAGTTAACCGTCAATCCAAAAATTTAAAAGAAGCTGTTCTAGAATACAAAAGGAGGTACGGTAGAAACCTCCAGCTGGGTTCGATCGTTGTTTTTTTTTTTTTTTTTTTTTTTTTTTTTTTTTTTTTTGT